GCAATGAAGAGGTCACTGCCATGCGGTCCCCACCATCAGAACTGTACTATTTTCAGTCCCCTGCTCTCAGCCCCTGAAGGCTCTCTGTGTCTTTCAGAATGATCGCTAAGCAATATGGCGATCTCTGCTGGAATGAAAGGGGATCTCACCAAGGAAGGTCGTTCCTCTCACTCTCTAGGAAATGAGTGTCTGAACAGTGTCCTTCTAGAGGTCCAGACCTTCATCCTAGGCATGCCTGAAGCTGAGTCTAGTCTCTGACGACCGGCACTTGCGGAGTCCTTTGTGCTTATGCAGGCTTTATAGCACTTGCATCACAGATTCTGTGAGCTTACAAAGCACTAAGTGCCATTCTGGGCACTTCATTTTAAGACCTAGAAAGCACGCCATGTGAAGGGTAGTTGAGAAGCCAGGGATGTTTGTCATGGTCACAGCTTTTAAAGATATGATTTACTCGAACAAGTGCTTTGTTGAAACATCAATAAATTGATTCTACATCAGAGGGAAGAATTGGAACAATTAACAGAGACAGGAGGAACTTTGTTAAAATCAAACCTCTGCAACAGTAGATTGGGCTACCCCCATCAAGGAATGGGTCCCCCATCCCTGAGCATGGGTAAGGAGAGGCCGAAGGAGCATCTGTTAGGGTCTTGCAGAGGATAGCAGTTAGCCCAGCTGTTTTGTGATAGTAACTTGAACTCTGATTCTCCGAATCTCTAATACTTTAGGACATTTTTACCACAAACTAATCCGAAAAGTGCTACTTGTCCCGGATTGGTTTCTTGGGGCTTTTTTTGTGAGATGTTAAAGGTAATCTGAGAAAATAGAGTTCCCAGGTCAAAGATATTCGGGAACGCTGGGTTAAACAAAGTAGAACTTTTGCTATTGTTTCTTTCTCTTTCTTGTTCCTTTTCTTCCCCAACCAGCACTTGTTTTAGCTTTAACATACCAAACACAACGTGCCTCTTCATGCAGAGGATCAGGGCACATAGTATTCCCAACTGTATCCGGCCAAAGAACACATCATTCATAATACACAATCGGAATCTCATGGGACACTAGTGTTCAACAGAATATAGTTTGGGAACTTATGCGAAACCATTTCCTTGTAATTTCCTAGGAGTTTAATAAACAGACTCCATTATTTGATAGCTATATTATAATGATTATTTTTTTCTACTGCTTACAAAGAGCTTTCATATATATTGTTGAGGATAATAATGAGAGCTCACTTTGTTGTGTATTATCAAATTTGCTAAGTTAATTCAAAATTCCTGGCCACTTGAGAGTGAAAGAAAAATTGAACACAGCACATTTTGGGAGTACACTAATACTACAGAATGGATAAATATGCTGATTATTTTTAAAAAGTAGATTCAAACAAGGAAAGAAATGTTTTTTACCTTTTATACTCAGCTTAGATTCCTCCATTGTCCTATAAAAGTGATAAAGGTTGAAGCTCATTTTAGTATTAGCGACAATCATAAAAACTTCTCAAGATGAACTAACTTCCTTTGCCTGCTTGTAAATCTGTAGCTCTTTAATGAGAATAATTGTCTGAGCTCTGTAGTTTCAAGGTCACGAGTTCGTGAGAGAACTTCCTGCACCCAGAGGGCAGTGAGTACTGCCTCCTGCTCACCCTGGGGTCAGGGGAAGTCTCCCGGACCACCTCCATCCTTCCAGCCACCTGCAGGCTTTGCCCCCACCGGGATCCTTTCTAGGGTATGGATCTGGAGTCCGGAACGCCCCAGGCTTCTCAGATTGTTCGCAGTTTGAGACTATAATTATTTATGTATTTTAAAAGTAAACTTCTAACCCTTTTTCCTAGGTCATAGAATGTATGCACCCTTTTTGTGGACAGCATTTGTCATTTCCCACGGTGGTCAGAAGTATCAGATTGGAAATCTAGATACCTCTCAGTCTCTTATGAATCTTTTCCTGCTGTTAGGCTAAAATATTCCCTCAACCTTTTTTTTTTTTTTTGAGCCCAAATTGTGTGCATTCCCACTGAGAAACACTAGAGGTAAACTTTCTTAGTGTTTCTTAAGACTTTAATATATTAATTTTAGCTGTTTTTTTTTTTTTTTTTTGAGCCAAAATTGTGTGCATTCCCACTGAGAAACACTAGTAAACCTTCTTAGTGTTTCTTAAGACTTCAATATATTAATTTTAGCCGTTGACATCAAATCTCAGTGTCCCGTGAATAATACCTAACTCACACTTGGTGCCCAATGAAGTACAGCCTGATCTAAGTATCTTTGGGAGAAATTCACCATAAACCTTTTTGCTCTAGCGTGACGATTAAGGGAACCGCAAGGTGCGTGAATGCACGCACGAGAGCTGATGCCCCTTTCACCCTCCGCCCCGCCAGCCTTTGCCTCACCCTTCCTTCTCCCCATCAAGGAGCTGGCGGTAGGTGGCGATTTCCTTCTCTAGGTGGGTTTTGATGCCCAGAAGGACCTTGTATTCGCTGTTCTGACGCTCCAGGTCATGGCGGAGCTGCGTCAGTTCCTCCTCATAGTGGGAGAGGATCCGTTGCATGTCCTGGAGCTGGCAGGAGTACCGAGACTCGGTCTCTGATAACATGTTTTCTAAAGCAGATTTCTGAAAGAGGAAATGACATTTCTAACATTAACCGACCGAGACCTTGATCGATTGAATAATGTGTGCTTGTCGAGTAATTAGAATATGCTGATGACTCTTCTGGGTGTCTTGATGGCTTCTGGGGATGCAAAGATGAGAAGTGGGCTGACTTATAGGTTTGGGCGTGGGCAGTCAGGAGTTGAGCAGTGTCTGGACTTTTGAAGTCCATTTTTTGGGCATAAGACCTTTGTGTCAGGGTTCACTTTGGCAACTCTGCTGTTCTCCTGTGGTGTTTATTGTTTGTGCTCCTCGTTCGGGATTGGACATATGCTGCCTGCCCTGATCTGTTCCTTACCTCCTTATGCTGACATTTGTCTCTGGCCAGACTGAAAGCTCCTAGAGGGAAACAGCACCTGAGACTGCTGTCTCATTGTGTCTTCAGAGAAGGGTCTCAAGTAGCGATGCCAGATAAAATAGAGGCACTTATTAAATTTGAATTTCAGAAACACAACGAGTAATGTTTTAGTACAAGTACATCCCAAATATTGCCCTAACATTGCATATGAGACATACTTATGCTAAAAATACTGTTTATCTGAAGTTCAAATTTAACTGGGTGTCTCTTTTAATTTGGTCATCTGGTAATCCTAGTTACAAGCAGTGCTTTTTCATTATGACCGTGGTAACAAATTGTCATTACTGAGGAGATTCTGGAAGTTGCAAAGTGAAGTTGCTGGGCTAGGATACAGAGAGCTCAGGTCAAGTCCCCATTACGTTTGGATTTACCGCCTGCTTCATAAAGCACGTATCTTTAACTTTAAAGAACTCACAGCAGTGCTGGGTGGCTGCTCTCGCTTTATCATGGCTGCTAACCCTCCGGGGGCCTTTACGGCTGCCTGGCCATTAAACCACATGTCCCTGGTCTAGTCACTCTCCTGTTCGCCCAGAGGGCTATTTCATACCTTCTCTTCTGTCCTTAAAGCTCCCTTCTCCTCATTCTTTCTCTCAGCCCGCAGCTTTGCTTCATAAATCACTGAGGAAATGGAAGCGATTAGGAGAGGACTCCCCCAAGCTCCCACCATCACTTCTCCCACATACTGGGATCTGCGTCCAGGTACTCACTTCCCTCCTGCTGTGTATGAGCTGTCTGTGCTCTAGTCATCTTCATAATTGCTCACCTCCTTGCTTCACCAGTGTTCTCTCTACTAGGTTATTCTCGCCTGCTTTCAAATAGAATAATTTCTTAAAAATTTTCTTTCTTGAACCCATATCTCCTTTCAGCTATCATCCAGTTTATCCCCTCTCCTTCACCTGCAGTAAAGTTCCTCCAAGAGTTGTCGATACCTGCTGTTTCAAATTCCTCTTGACCTCCCTCCAAGGGTCAAGGCTATACAGACAGGCTCCACTGTTACCCCATGTCCTCTCCTCCCTCTCCTCCCTCTCCTCCCTCTCCTCCCTCTCCTCCCTCTCCTCCCTCTCCTCCCTCTCCTTCCTCTCCTCCCTCTCCTCCCCTCGTCCCCTCCTCTTCCTTTGTTTTCCTTCCCTTCACCCACTGCAGCCACATTGGCTTCCCTGCTGTTCTTCCAACCTATTGGACACACCTGTGCCTCACAGCTTTTGCATTTGCTGTTCCCTCCACCTGGAAACCACCCCCCCTCCCCATAACCACATAATGCACCTTCTTACCAAATTTAGATTTTTGTTCAACGGTCACCTTAACAGTAAAACTTTTCCTGACCACTTTGTTTAAAACGGTGGCACTTTACTGTGGTATGCCTTACCTATCTCTCATGCCTCATTTCTTTGTATACTTTTCTCCATCTAATATATCATATATTTTGATGATTTATTGTCTGTCATCCCTGCTAGAATATAAAATCCTTTATTATCGAATTAGCAGGGCTTAGAATAGTGTCAGATAGTAGGAGGCATGAAAACGGGTGTGAATGCCTTGTTGACCTTGCAGGCTTGTTGTGGAATACTGTCTATTAAAATGTTTTGAAAGCTGCAAAACACTGTAATTACTTCTGTGTGCATTATCATCCTGACAGTGCAAATTTCAAATGTCTTTTCACCATTACCGATTTCTAAAACATAACAGTCATTTATCATGTGTGTCTGCAACAAAACGAGCTAATAATTTTTCCCCAAGTTCAAGGGCAGAGGAGCACTCAGGGACGATATTGATGAATGATTAGAAGGTAATGATGGACTTAATGAATTTTGAGTGCTTATGACACTTATACATAGCATTTTACTAAAAACCTTGAAGATTATAGAAATGACTATGACACAAGAATTTACACTTTTCTGGGTAAGAAGACATTCATAATGAATTGAGCAGTACTTTGGAGTCAGCCAGGCCTGGATTTGCCACCAATTTATGTTGGCACCGGAATTTCTCTTTATTAGGTTTTGGGGGAACAGCTTGGTTGTAAGTGGGAAGAGCCTTTACTGAGATTATGGGAGTCTGCCCCACCCACAGATACCACGTGGCTTTACCACTGGCCACTTAGCTGTGCGACCTTGGCCAGTTTACTTAACTGTTTGGAGCTTTGGTTTCCTCATCTCTAAAGTGGGGACACTAAGACTTACCTGGAAAGGTTAATGTGAGGGTTGATGACATTTGATATAATGAACTCCTTAGCACACCACCTGGCACAATGTGGACACTCAACAAGTGATAGCTGTTACTTTCATTCTCATCAAGAACAATTTGGATGGAAAGTGGGAAGTGAGAGATGTCCCAATGGAGTTGAGCCAGAGAGAGAGAGAGATAAAGAGAGATAGAGAGAGACAGAAACAGAAAGAGACAGAGAAACAGAGAGACAGAGAACAAGGAAGGCTTTGTGGAAGAGGTGGTACCCGACTCAGGACTTTCCTAACTCAGACTCACCTTGTTGCACTGTGCCTGTAGATCAATCTCCAGGGCCTGGAAAGTGCGCTTCAACTCATGGATGTTACTTTGGCTGCTCTGCAGAGCTGTTGGACTGGCTGCTTCCTGGGCCATGGCCGTCTCCTGGGCCATGGCTGCTGACTGTGAGACCAAGCAAAGAGCAGAGACATTGGCATCGGACCAATGGAAATGGAACCTTTGGGAAGTTTGGGCACCTTTCTTTTACCTGCTCTTTATACCAAGCATCCAAATCTTGGTGCTTCTTCTTTATCATAAACTCGTATTCCTGCCTCATATCCTCCAGGACCTTAATCAGATCTTCCCCTGGCGTTGTATCCACCTTCACATCGACCATGCAGTCATTTGGCACATGACGTTCCTCCATTTCCTGCATAATAACAGAGAAAGAAAATGAATTGGCTGCGACAGTCAGAAAGAGGTGTGTTGATTGGCAGCGGTAAATGGATCTTTTAAAAATTCATCTTATGTGGTTGCTACTCTTGCACTGGTTTGATTTGGCTTCTCAATTATTACTTATTGATGACAAAACATTATATGATTTTCCCCCCTTATATTTTCATAAAATAAAGCACCAGACAGGTAATAAACTGGCTTTTATGATTACCGACTGATTGAAAATGTTTCAGCAAGAATTATGCCTACATAGTGTGTGACGTACTCGGCAAAGGTTCTTGGGTGAAGCGATGACACAGATAAGCAGTAGAGCATTTTAGATTATAGATCAAAGCTTTTGGGAAGCAGTTCAATAACCCAAAGCCAAAAGGCATAGAGGCTTTTAAGATTTCATCAGTGCTTTAGGACTCTGTAAGACCAATGCCCATAGGATATTGTGAAAACAAAGAAACCAAAAGAAAGGTTTAATTAATGGTCATTGTCTAACCAGCTGTTCAGCTGTAGGGAGGCTCTTTGATGTTTATAAGCAATATTGTTTGCGTAAAATAGGGATTGTGTTTCCATCATTTTATCAAAGTCTCAGAGACTTTAGATGGATGGTAATTGTTTGCAAGTCGGTTAAATGTTTCTGTAAATTAAGATTCTTAATTTTTGCCACTAGTCATATTTACCTTGGCCAGTGGCAGATTCTCTTTATTCTTTTGTCCCTCAATTTTCTGCACACTGGGTCAAGGAAGGAAGTTTGGTCTCACACATTTATTTTTACAGTATCATATCAACAAAAAAACCTAGGTAAACATATTGCATTAAAACCATTGTCTGATCTATTGTTCATTGCGATTGTGTTTTGGCTCTTGTATCTGGCATTTGAGTAGATAACCTTGGACTTGGAAAAATGAGATGTGTATATGGTTGCTTATGATTATTTAGACTGAAGGACAATGGGACTGTCATAGAGATGGTGGTTTCTTCTATGGTTATTGAATCACCTAAAATGTGCAAATTCGGAGCTGTGCTGGTGACTCCTGGGGCGCCCTACCTTCTCATGGCGCTTCTTCATGAGGATGAGCTCTTTCCTCATCCCTTCTACCTCCTGCTCCAGGTCTGTTGTGATAATGGTTAGGTCATCCAAGGTCTTTCGGAGACCCTCAACTTCAATTTCCAAGTCTTTCTTGAGGGAGTGTTCATTTTCATACCTTTGATTAGAAGAAAGGGAAGAGCATACCTATTGTTGGAAGGCTGAGGTCTTTGTGAGGATTCACCTTAGTTTAGAGGTGACTTTCCTACTTTTTAGGTTTAATGGGAGCAAATTAATCCACGCTACGTGTTCTTTGTATATCTGTTTCACACATTTTTTTCTATGATGGTGACTCAATGTTATTTTTTTTTTAATTAGAAAGAATAAAATAATAACCAGTCATATGCACATCACCTAGATTTAGAAACCATTAACATTTTGCCATAGTTGCTTCATCTCTATTCCATTTTGTATTTTAAAGTAAATTAGGGACATTATGGCATTTTATCCCTAAATAGTGTTTGAATGCATCTTTTAAGAAAAAGACATTAAAAAAAAACAAGCATAATAACATTATCACACCTAAAAAATTAACAATAACTTTTTAACATCATGTAATGCTTGGTTCATATTCGAAGTTCTTCACACCAAAAAGTGTGTTTTATATCTGGTTTGTTTAAGTATTTATTCTTGTTATGCCTTTTAATTATATTTTAGTAAGATTTTTACATGTGGATAATGTGAGATAAGTTTTTCTTCTGAAAAACAGAAACAAAAACAAGAGTAACCGAAACAAAACAAAACAAAACAAAACACCCTCCCATCCCCTCAAACATACCCCACGACACTGTGAAGAAGGAACTTACTTGAGGCTGAAGTCATCCACTGCCATCCTTGCGTTGTCAATGAGAAGAATGATCTGGGCATTTGTCAGCTTACCATCCACTATCTGTAAAACAGGAACCAAGAGTCAATTCAGTGGGACACACTTCACAGGAAAGTTTCATTTCTGCCCTCTAGTCCCCTGGGTATATGACTTGTTAGCAAAGGTGACTTCTTTTTCTGGCAAGGGAACAATGAATAATCAAATCAGCAAGTATTTACTGAGCACTTACTAGGCAGAAAACGTAAGAATGTATTTATAATAAGGATGTGGTCTGCACTGTCTTTTTTTACATGGAGTTTTGATAGGCTCGGACTGATGCAAATGATGAAAGAATGTTGTTACAGGAAGAGGAAGGAGTGTGATTGTTCAAAATGCCTTCTAACTTTCTAGTATTATGAACATATCTTAGTGTTTTGCTTAAGCTCGTCTGCATCTGAAGATGTTAAAAGTGGTTTAGGTTCTGATCCTTTTCTTATTGAGCACATTAGTTTGGTTCCCCGAAAGTGCAATAATTATTTTGGATGAACACAGTTCTTCCTTGTGATACCATTCATGTTTCTGATTAGTGATACTGAGCAAAGTAGCACTGATATTGGTTTGTCCAACTAATTTTAAATGAATTTTATAGTACATTTAAACAATGTAAAATATATTTTTTAATAGTCACCTCATACCATAATTATTTTTTTCCCAAAGTGACTATAGTCATATATACATAACTTATAATGTGTTTGTGTTTGTAAATTATTCCATGATGAGTGTGCCCCAATTGTGGCTATTAAAATATTAACTGAAATAATTCTTTACCATCTAATGAAGCAGCTTAATAAACTTTAACTGTGTTAAAGTCTCTAATTAAAGACTTTCACTAGATATCTTTACTTTAAAAAGAAAAATATTATTGAAAGTGTCTACCTGAGCAATTATGTGTACATATATGATTTGTAAATACTTCTAGGTGGTTGTTATCAGAGTACACATTTGATGTATGTCACTGTCTTCAGGAAAATTGTGTGGAAGATGTCTCAATATCACCAGTATAATAATACTTTTGTGCCAAGTATTGTGCTGAACGAGAAACTGGGAGATTTTCCTTTTACTTCCTGTTGCACCCATCGATGTGAATTTGGGTCAGTCTCTCTCCTCCCTGGGCTTCAATTTCATCATCTGTTAAATAAGGGGTTTGTACTAGAGACAAGTGACTGAGAGGTCCCAGCTCCAAAATTCTGTAACTTAGTTAGAACCAGAGAATCCTGTGACATTCCCATTGTATTTATACAGATAATTCCTTTATTTAGAAAAGATTTTCATAGGACAAAGATATACCTCAATACAAAGGTACCTTTGAAAAATCTGTTCCTATTCAAAGCTCCACTGATTCCATGGAATTTGGTATCATGAATGCACAATAGCAGGATTCAGAGGTGGTGATACCACTGGGTCTGTACTCAAAGAGCAGGGCCTGGGACCCTGCTCCAGCATCCACTAGCTGGGTGACCTTACTGAGTGTCAGTTTCTTCATCCACAAAATGGCAATAAAAATAGCCATTTCTCAAAGAGGTATGAGAATTAGATTAGAAGAGATAAAATAAAAGAATGTTGTAAAATACTTAGCATATTCCGGGCATACTGGAGACATTCTAAAAAATTGGTTGAAACTAAATTAGTTCAGAAAAATGTGAATTGCCTAATTTTCTTCTTTAAAATCTAGCACTTTTGTAACTAGAGCCTGCATTGAATAAATTTCAGGATTTATATGTTGAGATGCACTCTCAAACTTTGTCCGTGGTGGGAGATAGCCAGGCTGGCTGCCCCTGCCCAACTTTTTTCTTTTTGTGGTGGATTCCAAATGGTACTCTGGCTCCGTCCTTTGCTCTAAAAAAGGATTCTGTAGCTCTTTCTTTGTCTTTCCTCTGTGGTGCTTCTTAGGGACTCTCTTACCAAATGCTTTTCCCAACTGGCTCTTCGTTGTTTGCATTTCTAAGCTTATGGGAAATAAAAAGTAGTACAACTTAGGGTTTGCCTTAGTTGTGCACCAAAGTGTTGTCTGATACCCAGAGAAACCATGCGCTATATGCTCCACAGAATTGAGAACATCAAAAATATCACCTGTGGGCTTATTTGGCTTTCCCGAGTTAGACTGATAATGCATCCCCATCAAGAGTCTGATTTCCCCAGCCAGCATTCTCATAGTATGTGAGTGGTGAGTTCTGAAATGCACTTGATATAGAGCACATTTAAAAACTGAAGCTACTTCCCACACTCTTCGGGTTACCTGATACAATGTTATGATACAGCCAATATTTCTGAGACATCTTTTGCAGTAATGAACGGATGAGGATGGATTGTGAAATGATATGTGAGGCATGGGTTTTGCATGGTGTGTTATAATTAATCACCTGGAATCTCCCCAGGGCCTGCGTTATTCTTTTAAAAGAATCTAGTTGATGTGTTAGTGCAGCGCCATTGCTCCAGGCTGTGTGATCTACTAGGGAGAGGAAAACAGAATTTTTTTTTACTGTAAACCAAAATGCCAAATATAGTATTATTATGAGCTATTCTAATATTCTAATATCCCTCTCTGTCCAACTCTGTGTTTCAAAGGAGTGGGTTAATTTCGAACTCAACTTCTTAGAGACTTTTTGAGTAACATTTACTATCCCTAAAGTGGGGGCTGTGTCTACTCAGAATGCTTCATGAAGGCCTGGGAAGGGGTCATCCTTGAATAGTTGTGGGACCTTTTTTAGGCCTCTGTTTTCTCACCTGCAAACTGGGGAGATTGGGAAAGTCAGACAACCTGAACTTCAAAAAGTTGTTTTCTTCAAGTACAGAGAAAAATGTAACAACTGAAATAAGAAATCCAGGAAAGA